CTTCGGGTTCGCTAAGCCTTATTATTATTATTATTAACTTGTAAATATGGTTTCCGACAGGTAGAAACCAAATTTCTAACGCGGGCCACTAAAGGAAAATTGTTTACAGACAAAAACGCCTTTTTTTCTCCTAAACGATGCATCGAAGCAAAAAACGTACTCTTTAAGAAATTAAAGAACGTTAAATTTTGCGTCGAATGAGTACCTAAACTTAATAATTGAGTTAAGTGTTATGATCTTTACCCATTCTCAACCAACGCTGATTTTTACTAAATTCGTCAAAAACTGATACAAATTACAATAAATGGCGCTACAGCTTGAAAATGAGTTCCCTAAGAGAAACATCTCATAGAATAACAGTTGTAGAGCATTAAATTCCGCGTCCACTGAGTACTAAAGGCTTTAATGTAGATTAATTATATCTCTCTAATCGGGATTCGTTAATTTATCATGAAATTCGTTGTTTTTTTTTTACCTCATTTCTCAAAATCCTTCGCTGTTGAGAGATAGAAAAGAGCCATGTACTGAGACTCTTTATAAGAATAAAAGTAGAATAGACACCCTATACTGTTGAAATATTTAAAATCACAGATATCTTCATTTCCAATTTCCAGCCATCGCTATCACTAGCGGATCCAGGATTTAATTTTGGGGGGCTTCAGCCCGAAAGATTTTTTTTTCATATACACATAACGATAATTAATTTGAAAAAAAATAAAGAAATTAATTACCTATATGAAATGGTGTTTAAGTGGTTCTTGAAGTCCTATTAATTATAATTACACGAATAAGAATACTTTAAGAGATAGTTTTTAATATTTTTTTCTGTAAAACATGGTTACATTTTACCATTTTGGGGGGGCTTCAGCCCGAAAGCTCCCCCTCCCCCCGTAGATCCGCCTGTGATCGCTATTCACTAACGATTTCGAGCGGAATAAATAACCTATATTAAAACTGATAATACTCAATGGACCAAAAATTCGATACTTTACAACTTTTATTCTGTGAGTTTTTTCTCTTAGAGAAATAATTTTCCAAGCTGCAGCGCCATTTATAGTAATTTTTGACGAATTTGGTAAAAATCAGCGTTGATTAACTATGGTTAAAGACCATACTAAATTATTTCAGGTGAAGAAATAAAAAAAAAGATCGGAAAAATCGTGCTTTTTTGGCTGTTTCCCTTGGTGACCTCTGTTAGCAATTTGGTTTTATACATGTCGGAACCCATATATACAAGTTAAAAAAAATAAAACCTTTTCCCATATTTTTCGCAATGAATTTTCCATTTCGATCCCTAGTTACTGTTCTTATATTCTTTAAACCAGCCGCCATTTTTACAGGTAGTAAGACCAGACTGGCAGACTCCCGTTTTTTTTTTTTTTAATATGAATGTTTTAAATATTTTAAAAAAAATATGCTTTTAAAGTTTCATCAATTAATGCCGATTTTTTTCACGGGCTTTCGGACTATACACTGAGATATACAGTTTTGGGATTTGAATTGAAAAATGAGGATTTAATTTTGGTAGGATTCTTGGTTTTGATTTATTATTTTCAATAATCAAATAAGAAAAAAAAGTTAACCTTCCTCCCTCTCAAAATTTGCCCTTTTGCGTTTAAAGGTAAGTAGAATCCAAAAATGGATTTTAAACAAATCTGTCCGTCCGCCGTACGGAGCTTATCTCCGAGACTACCAGGCTATTGGTTTTGAGATTCGGTACTAATGTCGAATGGGTACCCGAGGACACTAGCGGATCCAGGATTTAATTTTTTTTTGGTAGGGGGTCCTTCCGCCCGATACGTTTTTTTTTTTTCATATATAACGATAATTACTTTGGAAAAAAAATAAACTAACTATACCTGTATGAAATAGTTTTTAAGAGATACATGAAGTCCTATCAAATGTAAGTAATTACACGAACAATAATACTTATATATATATACGCTGCAGCTTGGAAATGAGTTTTCTATGAGAAAAAACTCATAGAATAAAAGTTGTAGAGCATTAAATTCCTCTGGGCGAATATTAGTTTTTCAATAAAGCAGGGTTACATTTTACCATTGGGGAGGGGGGGGGGGGCTTCAGCCCACTAGCGGATCCAGGATTTAATTTTGGGGGGAGCTTCAGACCGAAGGCTTTTTTTTTTTTTTCATAAAAATGACGATATTTACATTGGAAAAAAAGAAAGAAACTAGCTATCTATATGAAACGGTGTTTAAATGATTCCTTAAGTCCTTTTAAATGTAATTACACGAACAATAATACTTTAAGAGATAATTTTTAAATATTTTTTCATATAACCATATATAGATATACAACCATATTTAGGTATATGGTTATATTTTACCATTTTTTTGGGGGAGAGAGGGTTAGCCCGAAAGTACCCCCCTCCCCTCCCGTAGATACGATCGTGCTTCAGCCGGAAAGCCTCCCCTCCCACCGTGGATAGGCCTGTGCCCGAGGAAACCAACGGATCCAGGATTCAATTTTGGGGGGAGCTTCAACCCAAAACAATTTTTATTTGGATGTATATATTAGGATAATTACTTAGGAAGGATGAAAGAAACTAACTACTTATATGAAATGGAGTTTAAGTGATTCTTTAAGCCCTATTAAATGTATTTAGACGAGCAATAATACTTTTAGAAATAATTTTTTTTCACAAAATATGGTTATATTTTACCATTTGGGAACCCAGTGGGGTTCAGCCCAAAAGCCCCCCTTCCCACCTCTCCCCCATAAATCCGCCTGTGCCCGAGGATAATCCTCGGAACTCGGTAATTACCATCCGTCCAATCTTTTCAAGATGGCGGCCGAAAAACTTGTGTCCCTATAGACTGTAACGCCTAAAGAATGTAATTATTTCGATGAAACTTGGCTAACAGTTTCCTCATTTGAAGCCCTTTAAATTTATCTATTTAACATACTTCATCAAAAAAAGCTATAAGGGCGGGGAGAGGAATGGAAAAATTAGATTTTTCCAAAAAAGTATACACTTTTTTGAGGTGAAAGAAAAAGAGGCTTACAAGAATGATACTGAAGCAGTGAGGGCAATCAGTAGACCCAATATAGGCAGACCTTAACTGACTGGCCCAAAGGAAATATCCTCAAGCATCCCATGCTAAAAAGAAAAACACCATTACCTAGAAATGTTATTAGAAAATTATTTTGAGAAAAACAGAAAATATTGGGTTGGCAAATAAATCCTTTCAGTTTTTCAGAGTGAAATAAAACTCAATATATTATAGACATAAAATTTATTTTAATCTACAGTATATTGACCATTATTTAATATGACTTTTTCCCACCTTTGAATTAACTGTACACCATGTCCATAGAATGGCTGGTGTTTATTGTTAAAAAACTGACCCAAGTGGTTTTTGATATCCCAAATTCTTTCCATTTATGTGGTTCTGCAGAGACCGGAATTAGTAGTATTCATTTGGAGCTAGGTCTGGTGAATTGGGAGGGTGGGGCAAAAGGTCTCATCCAAGGGAATCAATAATTTATTGTGAGTGACCAATGAGGCGTAGGGCCTAGCGTTATTTTAGTGGAACACAACACCCTTACGTTCATTCATAACTCTTCAGGATGTTTGTATAAAAAATGGACATCAGCATTTTCAAAGATGAATATGACATAACTTTTTAAATCTTATTGATATCAAATGCTTCACCGAATTAATAAACAATGTTTAAGTTGAATTATGGCAAAAAAAAAATGTGGTGTTCATATCACACAACTTTCACTTACCACCCTCTTAGCAGAAATATGTATTTTAAGAGAAAGTGAAAGTAAAAACTATAGACACTATAATTATTTACATTTCATTGTGGGTATGTTTCTTTGTTTAATTGAGCTTATATATATGAATGTGTATCTGTATATAATACAGATATGTATTTTTTCTTTTGTAACTGTTCATTATTGTTATTCTAAGAGGACATCGTCCCAGTATAAAGTTTATTTTCTATCCTATATATAAATTTAAATTTTTATATCGCTGTAATCTATACAATTAAATATTCAATAATACCAACGCTAGCATTTATGAAAACCGCATATGTATATGTACATAATATTGTCTGAGTCCGTACTGTATTAAGCTCATGTTACCTATGAAGCCTGTTCTAATCCTTCGGGCACGTTCATATTTCTTGGGCTCCTTCATGACAACTATTATCCGTTACAATCTCTTATTTCTCTTTCAGTTAATTATAAAATTCTTTCATATTTTATATTTAACTATTTTTTAAATCAAAGAACAATATGAAATTATTAATTATTTCAAATTAAAAAAATTAAAGGTAATTCAGAGCAAGCCAACATTGAAAATTAGCCATTTAAGTCCTGTTAGAGAACATCAATGAGAATAAAACATATATTATGTTAAAAAATGATTTATAATACACTGATGTACTTCGTTTAATCAAAATTGTTAAGAGCAGTTTTTGAGAATATCTTAAAAAATGTATTAAATCAATTAAATAAAGTACCACTTCCTGTTTGCTAATTTTGACTAAAATGTTGCTGTAACATCTTATGCTTATAAAAACCTCAAATACGCAATTTCAGTTTCATACGACTTTTCATTTTTAAGCTAGGCTGTTCACATACATACAGATACACACAGACTAATTTGTGGGACTTGGTTATTTGGACTCAGGGGACCTTTAAAACGTGTATTTACTTGAAAACAAAAGATTCAAAAATTTTCATGATCGCAATACTTACTCGTATTATATATTACATATATAGTTAAGTGAAAGTAAAAATTAATAGAATTTTTTCAAATTGAGGCAAAACAATAAAAATGGGCTTTCCGTCAAACTTCAAAAAATGACAGATGTCCGTCTGTCTTTTATTTGAGTCTGCACAAAAAGGAAAAAAAGATAGAATTATCAAAGACAAAACAACATGAATTTCACTTCTGATATTTGATAGATGGTATCAATAAAATTATTCGATAAGATAATGGATAAAAATAAATAAAACCAACAGCATTAAAAAAACAGTCCTTTTTTTTTTATTATTTAAAACTGCAGTCATATCAATAATTAAATTTCAAAATAACACATGTAATATGGTTTGATGTTGAGAAATATATGGCACAAACTGCCTGTATGCTTCAATGACTACTTAACATGTATATGAAAAACAATTATTTTACGTATAGCTCATTAATTCGTACAGGAAATCATACCAAATGTAATAATAGAATAAAATTTTATTAGCAGAGGCATACACGCTTATATGCATACACGCTGTCAGGCACACTATACACACAAAAAATATACATAAACATTTAATCTGTACAATTTAATTTATAAACATGATCATATATTGTCTTCATCAGGTTTTGACCAATGCCAATATAAATTTTCTCGTTCAAAGGACTTCCAGTCATTAACTAATATAAACGGGGTGAAAGAGTAATAAACAATCACTTTGTTTTCGAGACGTGTCGAGAGTATGTGGACACCAAGCAAACAAAAACAAAATTATAAATTACAAGTTATAGAAACACAAAAATCGAGATAACTTTATTAACGTTCACTATTCGGTAAATATTAATAACCATCATCGTAAAGATTTTTGATTGATAATATTAAATGCAACATGAACATCACTTATCGGAGTTCTTTTTATCATGATGATGGTGGTGATGTGATGAATTCTTCTCGTTCAAGTGCTTATCATTATGGTGATTATGGTCGTGCGATTTCTTATCATGGTTGTTGAACTTTTCATTATGATGCCTTTCATTGTGGGATATGATTCCATTGGTAAGAGCTGGCGGTCTAAGATTTTTCTGCAGTACGTGGGCGTCAGCTGGTTCAATCCTTTTGTAATAATGTTTCTTCGTTTCATGAATTTCAAAACCAAATTTTTTGTAAAAATCTATCGCACCCGTGTTATTGACTTGAACATGCCTAAAAAAAGGAAGAAAAATTATTGTCAATTTTTAAAATTACAACACAAAAAAAAAATCAATAGATGTCATAATTAATTTAATTTAATCAAGCAATTAATTTAAACAAATCAGCAGTAATAAGATTATCCCAATTGGCCAGAAATATCTCTAAAATACTTAATAACAATATTAAACAACAAAATTTTGGTATTACAGCCTGAAGTAAATTATTAAATAATACATTCAATCTAGATAATTCAATATCTACACTTTATTTATAAACTAAAAAATAATAATAATGAGATAGAGTAGATATGACTAAGAAGACCGTTAAATTATACATTGATACGAATTCAATCAAAATCCTTAAATACAGTTTGTTTTTTAGAAAATTGTAAAATCAATGATATAAAATATCACTTCCAATAAGTCAATTTCCTCAAAAAAGTTGCTGTAGCATCATCGACACCCATGACTTGCTCTAAAGGAAAATATTTCTTCAATTTAGCAATAAGACTCAGAGCAATCAGTAAAATAATACTAAGATAGATAAAGTAGCACCACAGCTATGATGATATTAATGAGCAAGAAAATCAACACATTCATTTAAAAAAAAAAAATTATTTAATTTATCGCTTAGTTCTTATTAAGTTTCACAATGAGTATATCGTTACCATTAAATTTATTCGGTGCCACTAATTACGATGATATTAGTCCGGGAGCCCATGGCAAAAAATGTGTCATATTTCACAAAGTTTGTCCTTATAAATTGACCATATCTACGTGCCTGATGAGAAAAATGCATATCTGCCAGCACATAGCCGCTAGAATACAAAATGGCTGCCAGGTGAAAACAGATAGTCTATATAGGTAGTAAATGTATATATAGAGAAGGCTTATAGATATATAAAGCTATCAATCCTTTCAGTTCATAGTATTTACAGTCTTAAGACATGAAATAATAGTCAGTTATCCCATACTCGTGAATTTCAAATCAGAAAATTGAATTTACAATTAAAAAAAATTTCTTTTTTTCTATTTTTTGCTTGTCAGTGAAACTGTGCATTCTATCTATATATATATATATAATGTTGTCCTACGTGAAATTAAAGCTGACAAAATTTACAATATAACTGGTTATATTATTTTTTCGCTATATTCTATAGTTTCCGTGATATCCGTCCTTGTAATAATTCACTAACTTCGAAAAAAAAATTGATTTTTGCCTAGCATTTTTATCATTATCTGACTCGCCAAGTCTTAACCTTTTCATTTTATGAAAAAGGCATGAAGGTTGTTACACCTTTATTGCCATGGGCTTCCAGACTATATTTCTTATTAAGTTTGTCTTACCAATAGTTATTATCAAAAATCAAATACTTTATAAAAACTCAAAAATTGCTGTCACTACACACACCCAACACAATCTATATTTCCCCTGGCACTCTAGATCTCTGTTAACATATTCCTAAACACTAGTTTTTTATTGTGGTAAATACAAATTATCAAATATAAATAATAATAATTCATTATCACCATATTTGCTAAAACTTCATACGCACTGTGAACTAGCTCATAATTACTCTAACCATATTACAATTTACACTGATGCTCATATGACCACCAGTATATGTTCAATAGCCGTTTATCACCTGCAAAGATCAATCTGTCTTATTCTATCCTAAACAATTTCAGTATTTTCGATGCAGAAGTTATTGCTGTTTGTAAGGCTGCAGAGCATACTAACCTACTATAAAAAGTGTAATATAGTGGTTATCACAGATTAATTTCTAAACTCCTAAGCCTGCCCATATCGAACTGCGTTCTGAAATGGTTCCTCTCCTCTTTATCCCACCGCTCCCAGACAGTTGTTATTCCTGACAAATCTCCTTCCTCATAACACCAATTACTATGAGGTGTTCCTCAGGGCTCCTCACTCTCTCCAACTCATGTTCTCTATTTATATTAGGGACCCTTCTTGACTCCATTCGTCACTCCCACTATCACTTATATTCAGGCGATCTACACATTAACTTATAGTTCCAACCATCTGAGATGCCTGAGGCTACTTGAAAACTACAAGAGGATATTGACTGTATCCATAGGTGGGCAGAAAAAAATAAACTGAAGCTGAATACAGATAAAATTAAGGCAATCCTCATCGATTCCAAGCACCTCATTAGTTCCCTTCCTTTCTCTCCTTTACTTACCTCAATAACTGTCCCATCCATTTCTTTCCGACAGTCGAAAACCTCAGAGTGATCTTTGATCAGAACCTCTCATGGAACAATCACATTTCCCAGCTTACCAGTATATCCACAACTTTTTTCTTTTGTAACTTTCATTATTGTTATTCTAAGGAGACATCGTCCCAGAATGAAGTTTGTTTTCTATTCTATCCTATCCCTAAACAATTCCTTCGATTCTGTGATTCCATTGTAAAAAAAAAAAAAAAAAATGGAGGGCTGTCAACAGGACTGCAATGAGAATTGCTTCATAAGGTTCATTTTAGGGATTCCTAAGCATTTTCATGTTTCCTGTTGGTACACAGAGTTGACATGGCTATATCCTACTTCCCGACGGCAATACCTTCTAAGTGTTTTTCTTTTCCAATCGTCAGAACCAAAAATCCTCAGTACATCTTACAACTGTTTATTTTACGCTCATCTATCCACTCTCTCAACCTACAGATTTATATATCTTCTCCCATAAAACTACTTCCTTCATCATTCGTGCTACCTCCTTCCGGAACTCTTTACCCATCTCCATAAAATCCTTGAAACTAAACTCCTATTCCACCACATATTACAAATTCAAACTTCTGCAAGCTTATAATAATTTCTGGGTTATATAATCAAATTACATTGGTCACCAGCAGTTAATTGATAGGAGCCATTTAATTTTTATTAATTCACTTTTGTTTTCTCTCTCAGTATTTCTTGTATATATTTGTATTTTTCCTTAGTATTTTTGTAGATATTTATATTTTCCTCAGTATTTTTTGTATATATTTATATTTTCCTTAGTATCTTTATTTATATATATGGTGTTATAGATCTATAAAATTTATAAGATGGTGTTGTAGATAAATAGATGATGTTTTAACAATTCAAAAAAGGTATTTAGATTTATTGTGTGCAGGCACGTGTGTGTGCACTAAAGAATTTTTAAAGTTGATTGTGTCCTTCACGGTTGAGCTCCTTTATTATTTTAGGAATATTGAGGGATCGGCACTCAATATTCCTAAAATAATAAAGAAGCACGACTGTGAAGAACACAATCAATTTAAAAGTTCTTTAACACACACACACAATAAATCTAAATACCTTTTTCGAATTGTTAAGACATCATCTATTTATCTGTAATACCATGTTATTATAGAATAAATATTTGAATTTATTTTTTTTTTTAAATATCAGAATAAACAAATAAACAAAAAGATCAGAAAGGAGGGATGGATTCACATCTTACAGATGATAAGGGAGAAAATTTTCATTGTTTTTAAAAGTAAAGTTGCTTTTTAAAGGAAGGAGATGGAATTTAAAGCATGAATAGGTGGTGGCAGTCATAAATAGTGGCAAAACTATTTTATTAAAAGCCAACTTCTCGATCTGACTTTGAAGGTCTTCTTCAGGGAGGTGTGTTCAGCTAGGAGTTTCAGTTTTAAGTGAAACTCCTGGTTGAACACATCTCCCTGAAGAAGATCTGCAAAGTCAGATCGAGAAGTTGGCTTTTAATAAAATAGTTTTGCCACTATTTAGCCTATTCATGACCACCACCCCGGACCATCTCCTTCCTTTATAATGCAACGGTTAACTATTAAATATTCAACATAAAGTTGCTTTTCAATTCATTATTTTTTTTAAATACAGTATTTTCACAATTATATGTATATAATTGCTATATACGTATAATATGTATATTTTTACTATCAAAATAAGTAATTGATATTTCAGCTAGAGAGCACAGATAATGAAGAAGTGTGTGAGGTGAAATTATATACAAAAAAATCATTTCTCTAAAAGTAATTTATTTGTACTCAATTTAATTTTTAAAAAATATAAGTTTTTAATATACTAAGAGATTTTTTATACAACACCCATTTTATAAATTATACAACTGTTCATTTAATTGAAAAGAAAAGAAACAAACTCAAAGTTCGGACAAATTTTCAATTTCTTTGAGTTATTAGAGACTAGCGATGGACAAAAAAGCTGTTCAATATCAGTAGCAGTTGCAACAGTTTCCGCTACTATGAAAAACAGTTTCAAAAAAACAAATATGACTGTTTCAAAATACAACAAGTGTCTTCAAAGTAATTATCAATTTAAATATTAAATTTAATCATACCTTTTTTTAATTTTACCATAATATAACAACTGAGGGACGAAAAAAAAATGTATTTATAATTGCTGATAAAAGTCAAAGTGACATTAAATTTGTAATTTTGAATCATAACATTTTTTAAAAGTATTTTATAAATTTATAAGCGAAAATAATGAACAAATAATAGAACTGAACTGTGAACTGTTTCTGTATCTGTTTAAATAAAACAGCTTCTGTAGCTGTTTTGGAAAGCTGTCCTACTAACTGTAAAGTGAATTGTTTTGGGTAGGTTCCAAAATTCAGCACTGAGTTTATCGATTGCTTCGTTTTGCTCTGTTTAGAGATCTATTCGATGGCATAAATGAGCTCAGCACTAATTGTAACAACTTTTCCTCTTCTAATGGAAGGTAATCCTTGTATATGTTTTATCTCAATTGAAACAGTTTACTGTATCTGTTAAATGAAAGAAACTGTTTACTGTATCTGTTAAATAAAAGAAACTGTTTACTGTATCTGTTAAATGAAAGAAACTGTTTACTGTATCTGTTAAATGAAAGAAACTGTTTAAACTAGACAGATTGCTACTAAATACTCCACCACTATCAGAGACCCCAAAGGTTAGGTAGTGATAAGGGAGACAGCCATATTTTATGATATTTTACTTATTTATATCTGTTTAAGGATATATATAATAAAGGCTCGGGCACACAGAATGCAATCAGTATTCGGTGATATGGTATCCCTACCTATGGCAATCTGGTGATCTACTTATGTTACTATATATTCCACTATCACAGCCGGTGATACAAAAATATTGCAAATCACCAGGACAGATCACCTGTATTCTCCTGAGCTTTACATTTTTACTGTTGCATTGTGGTAATCTATATAAGTAAATGTTAATTAATATTAGAGAAAAGATTTAAAAAAGTAATAGAAAAATTTATATAGGCTGCATATTATCCAAAAACGGGTTATTAATTTTATTTGTATATCATAGAAAAATGGTAATAACAAACATTGTATCACTACGTATTTTTGATTTATCATGTTAAAATACTTCATAAACAATTAAGACAATATGAAATATAAAGATGAAGAAACAAATAAGATCAATAGTAGCATGATTTTGTTTAACAACAACAACCTGTCTGTTGAAATACCTCAAATAAATAACAATCATAGATAATATCATCCAACAGATCAAGAAGAACAAGGACGTCAATTAATACATTCATAACCATATGCATTCAACATTAAACCTTAAACTTCTTAAAAATAAGACAAGCATATCTTGATTTTAAAACATTAATAAAACGAGAAAAATGGTGCAAATTGATAACCAAAAACACTCCAGATGCAGCAAATATTAATAAAACAGAAAGTATACAAAAAACAAACAGCAACACTTAGGTAACAAACATAACATATAAATAAACATGGCACAATGTACTATGCATTAAAATTTCAAAAGTATGATTAACAGAATATGTTTAGTGATAAATACTTACAAGTAAACGTTATCATAATTTCCATCCTTCTCAACATGTCTTAAAACATGTTCGACCATAACAGTGCCAACACCTAACCTGCGGTATGGTGAAAGACATCCAAGGGTCATAATATAAAGTCGACGCGAGTTTTCTGAAGTATCAACACGACAACAAACTGCTCCAACAACAATATCATTGTAATATGCTAAAATAATAAATAAAAATGTAGTAAAGTTGTTAAATAGTAGGTACAATAATAATTGATATAACTACAAATGAAATCTAATATAAGTTGAAATATTAATTAAAATAAATACTTAAGTTTAAAAGATGGAAAATTAATATTAAATACAAACCTAACTTGGCAAGTTCTCCAACTTCCAATACATCTTTATAAAACTTTTCATTATAAGAAACTGGAAAAACGACAGTGTTTAGAGTTTTCAACTGCTTCACATTGTGTGGGGTAACATCACCTAGTTCAATTTTCGCTCGTGGCGGTTTCTCTACATCACTTATATTTATATCACTGTTAAACAAAACAAACATTAAAAATGATAATAACAACAGATAACGATAGTTACTATACTATAAATTGAAATATCATCCTTAATAATGGAGGTATAAATGTTTTTTAAAGTCTTACCTGGACATGGTAAAATAACGCTATACGTAAGCGTACGGTATGATAAGTCGAGTTTATAAACCCGAGGTAAAAAAAAACCATTAATTATAAAACAAGTCCATGAAGTGAAACACTTTCAAGCAGTTTTCTGAAAGGTTCTGTATGAGGACGGGAACACAGAGAGGGAGAACTCGACTATCAGCTAAAGAGATCACGTGCTTCAATTATAATTATAAGAATTAATTATAAAAAATAGTATTTGTTAGACAGTATAATTTTTTTTCTTCTTTCCTATGAAACTGCTAAAAGTGTTAAAATAGACAAATATAGGAATTATATAAATAATATCAGAACCCCAAGGTTCCGTGGAGATATATTCAGTTGCAGCTTCATTACAGCTGATAGTTCTTGTCCTCAGCTGTAGGTGGGTGAGGTTGAAGTGGTATACATTTACGTGAGTAACACCGTATTTTTATCAATTATGAACATAAAATAATGTTTCAATCTATAAAATAAAATATTATACAGTCATTTTTATATTCGTTTCAATGTTTAGTAAGTCATTAATATGATTTTTCTACAAGATCTCGCAGAGTGATAGTTCCTGACATGGATCTTAAAAAAAACATTAAGATAATTCTAAGTGCGTTTTTCTTACCAAATTTGTGAACGATCATGATTTATTATCGTGTAGGAATTCATTTGATGGAGTTTGAATATGTGTAATAATTCTCAATAAAATACAGATGGCGACATACTTAACACACGTTAACTGGGCAACGCCCACTTTTCAAATGATGGAAAAATTTTGGATCCCTGGAAGATCTGTTCGATGTTTAATATAATTTAAACATTAAATGATCATATTTTAGTTTCCTCCATATTATTGTTCGAACATTGAACCGAATTAAGACTTTTTTTCTTTTTAATTTATAACTCTTAACATTCAAATACAAGTTAATTGACTTCAGTCCATTGTAAATATTACTGTTACATTATATTAAAATAAATAATTTCTTCAAACAGGTGACTAGGAGGAAATTTTTGCAAAATGGCCTTGCCCAGGATAAAAGATGAAGATCAGGAGTCGAAGTTTGGATATGTGTTCGGTGTTTCTGGTCCTGGTGAGCACAGATTATATAAAACAAATTTAAATATACATGTTTTATTCTTATTTATATACATTTTATTATTTTTTTACTTTTAGTCGTCACAGCAGAAAAGATGTCAGGATCAGCTATGTACGAACTGGTAAGAGTCGGTTATTTTGAATTGGTCGGAGAAATCATTCGTCTTGAAGGTGATATGGCTACCATTCAGGTACATATTTAAATTTAATTGTTTCTATTTAAGATTAATAAAACTTTTATGAGTTGTTTTCCTTTAATTTGTTATTTAACATTTAATATGTATATATTTTATTTTGCTTGGTGTGTATTTGTTAACATTAAATTCATAAAAAAAAATTACATCATTTTTTTTTCTTGTATTACTGATAGGTTCATTGAGTTACAGATAAAGAATTAAATTAAATATTTGAAGTGTGTCGAACTTTATAAATATAAATTGGTTTTCTGCTTTTTAATCTTAAATTTAGTTTAAATAAATATGAGAAAGTCAAGATCAGAATGGTGTAAGTCACATTTTCAACAATTTTGATATACAATAAATATAGTCTAGAAAGCCTGAAGTATTAAAATAAATAGTGAACTAAGTAATTGGCCTAATTGGACTTGACTTGCATGATGATGTAAGTAATTTTATTTGATAATTACTTTTAATCAGAACATCTTATCAAATTCAAGTTGGTTCTTCACAAAATGTTAAGATTAAGTTATCAAGATAATTCTAATGAAACTTCGTTTCTAAATATGAAGAATAATGGTTTATATCACTCTAACATCAGTTCCTTTATATGAATTAAAACTGAATAAATGCTATAATAAAGACAATCCCAGTTCTGATATTTAGCCGTGACACCTAGGCACTAACCAGCGCCCTAAAAAGAAGTAATGAAAGATTTGAGAGAAGTCTCATCTGCAACGTAACCTGATTGATATGGGAACAGAACACTGTCACATTGGGGAAAGGATCAAGAACTGCATACAGAAACTGGTCAATCAATAACTTGAAATTCCAAGAAAATGAGGTTAAGAGGGAAAAGCATGTAGCTCAAAGAAATATTTCAGAAAGTCTCAGCTTATCAATGAATACCTTAACACCACGTGGAAGACAAAAAACCAGACGGATATATCAAATTAACAAAGATCCTTGCAGAAAACAGGAAAGCAATAGTACAAGATAGGTAGAGATGGAGGCACAAAAAGTCTGCAAAGCCAACAGAAAATAATAATTAAAATTTATTATCTGATTTCATGAACATTGCAAAATTAGCTTTAAGTCTATTGCCAAATAAAACTGAAATGGTTTGACTTATTTTTGTTAAAGATATTTTATTTTATTATTATCATCATGATAGTTAAATCCAGTTAGTCAAATTGTAAGATATATATACGAATTGTCGTTTATATTCTTGGTAAATGAATGCTCATTTTTAATTTTAATAAATGGTTTTAGTAAAATTGTTCTAATGGTCTTGATAAGTTTCATGAACATATCAAATCTCAATAAGTTGTATTTTTTCTTTTCCATTTTATATATGGATTTTGTATCAAAATTAAAAATATGTAGTTTTTCTGAAACTATGGGCTCTTTGCCTAACTATACTTTGCCCTAATTAAGTTAAGGGCTTCAACTTTAGCTGGAATGTCAGGATACATTAAAAATAAGTTTTCACTTTTCTGTGTGTGGTATCTTCTTTGACCACACCCATCGTCCGAATTCTGTTGAAAATTTTAAATAAATCATTTAAAAAAGAAAATGTCTTCAGCCACTTTTTTATGCCACATTTGTTGTTTTTTTTGCTTTTTCGTAATCAGTCTTTCAAATTTCATATAAGAAATAATACCAGTGGTATTCTGATAACTTTATCACTGCCACAGACCACCTTTTAGTCATGAACAATTAACCATTTTAATATAAACATTTTATAAAACATTAACCATAAAACATTTTATAAAATATAGAAGAAGAGCCTATGATAAAAGAACTTTGACAATGTTATTACTGTTATATTTCTCGTCCAACTTGTTTTACAAAAGATTTAAAATAAAAACCTGTATCAACATAACCCATGAATGCTCTTGGGTTCAATACTTAGTAAAGAAGTACTGTTTCTTGGTCAACGGTTGTGGAAGGAGGGGATTTGACCAAAATCACTCTCAACTGTCTGGTTTTCCCTCTTTCAAGACAACCCACTTTATATATGCTGGGTATGTCCCAAGAGGGTCTCCTGACTCCAGGATCGATCCACAGCTGATGAAACAGAAGATAAAAATAAGATTTAAAAATATAATTACTGGATTAATATTATTTTAATTATTAAAATACAGTCTTATCAATTTTAATCTTATTTAAAAAAAAAATAAATCCTAGAGGAAATTATGGATAAGGCCATAGGCCAAAAATGATCATAAATTTTTTGTTTGCAAAATTATTTTACTCACATCTTCTGTCTCAACATTTAAAAATTAGAATTCATAAAACTAATATACTGCCTACGATTCTTTACATTTAATGCCAAATTGTTATGACTGTACATGATGAATGTAATTGAGATGATAGCTTAGCATCAAATAAAATGGTTTTGTAAAAAATGTTGGGATTAGTAGGGAACAAATTCCTAGAAGGTTAATATGAGATGCGCCAGTTGGTAATTGTCCAAGACATAGACTGAAGTGAAGGTGGGAAGATTTTATTAAGGCCGATCTTGTGGTGTTGAGTTTGGAATTTGATCGGTAGATGGAAGTATACAGGCAGTGACTGATAGTATAGGTATCGGGCTGGCGAAGCCTTTATTACTATTAATTAGTATAGGTATCGGGTTGGCGAATCCTTTATTACTATTAATTGCTTCTTTTCCAATATGTGAATACAGTGCAACTGGAATAAATGGAAATGTTGGATAATTTAAACTTTTTAGTCTGTTCCTCGTTTTGTTTCGACTGAATTTTAAACAAATTTTCCCTCTTATACAGACCTTATATTTTTTTTTCATTAGAAAACTATAAATATCTGTATCCTACTTAAGGAATCTTAAACTTTTCTCACTTGAGGGCATATTTATAGGTTAAGAGCCCATTACTAGTTGATGAGCATCAATTTCTATTTTTCATTGTTCTCTATTGTTAATAATAAAAAATCATAATTTTAACATTTAAATAAGGTATTGATTATAAGGTATATGAAATAAAGTTAAATAGCTGTTTACTCTCCCATAAAAAAAATTTATTTTTTATGACGTTTCGGGATCCATTTTATTATCTTATCTTCAGACTAGATAAGAGATAATTTATAATAATAAAATCTATGACAAGTCTTTTTAAAAATTAGATGATCAAAAGGTGAGTAATAGTTAAGATTAGCGAATCATTAAATAAGATTAGCAAATCAGTTATTGATATGATAAGTTATAAAAGTATATGCATTTAAAAATATAAATACAAATGTTTCTTGTTTCTAGTCTGAAGATAAGATAGTAAAATGGATCCTAAAATGTCATAAAAATTATAAAAAATTTGGGAGAGTAAAATGTTATTTAACTTTATTTCATATATCTTATATAAATAAACATCTCTTATCAATAATGGACAGAGGTATTGATATATTATTATTAAAATTAAGCAGTTATTTAATAATAATTTATAAATAAATATAGTTATATAATATAGCTACAAGAAAAATGTCAATTATAAATAGGAAAAAAAATCGAATGAGTTTTTATTATATTTTTGAAAATTTATATGAGCTTACATAAAATTTATATATACATAACCTCATGTAAAAAATATTAATTGGAAAATTTTGAATTGAAACTATAAAGGGAGAAAATGATCTAGTTCAAATTATAGAATACTCTCTCCTCCTCTTGTTACAAAAAAAGATTTAAAGTTATCAAAATGCAATATTTTTTCGATTTATCGAAATTAATAGCTGAAGAGGTCAAATTGTCGAAACATTAGAATTATCTAGAGTTGACTGTGTAAGATATATAATTGATGGGAAATAAAAATATTAAAATTATGTTACACTTTCTCTATATTTTGTCGATCAGTGCTTCATAATTCCGAAAATATGATTAAAAAAAATAGTGTTATAGATTAGCATTTATTAAGTAAAACAAATGAATGAATATATTTTTGAATGGAATGAATACATAGAACATTTGTCATGAAAGTATTCTGAATACATTGTTAATTTTATATTATAACATATAAAGCTTTATAATTTTAATAACTAAAGTCTTTGCTGAAGTAAAATGTTCTTCTTGTATAGGTATATGAAGAAACTTCTGGCGTAACAGTTGGAGACCCTGTCCTACGAACAGGTAAACCTTTGTCTGTTGAATTGGGTCCTGGAATTCTCGGCAGTATCTTTGATGGTATCCAGCGACCACTGAAAGATATTAACGAAATCTCAAACAGTATTTACATCCCCAAAGGTGTTAACATCCCAGCGTTGTCAAGAAATGCTGCTTGGGAATTCCAGCCAACTAACATCAGGGTTTGTATTGCTTAACATTACTGTTTTGGAAAAAAAGTTTAATTCAGTTTTATTTGGTTTTCACTAGAGAATAGTTATAATAAAAAAAAAATTCATAACTTTATTATTAGAAACATTTTTAAAAAACAATTATCATTACACATGATATTCAGTTGCATTATGGACCAGATATCAAATCTAGTAGGTAAAAAATATATATTTTTTCAGAATTAATTCTATTTAGAACTATAAATATAATTTTAAATCGGTATTTTATGATATAATAAGATTAACCATGTATTGTGTATCCTTTTAAATATTATCTCCCTTTCTGTTTATAAGATGTCCTAACTTTGTAGTAACTAACAATATAAATCAGGAATTGAAACTTTTCAGAAAAAAATTCCAAGAAACTTTTTTTTTGTAATGAAGTTAATTTGAAATAAAGAAGAAAAAATTAATCCAAAAGATCTCTTAACTAGCTCCTTTTCAGCCTTTGAGTGTTTTCTGGTATACGTCTTATGCCCATGTTTTGTATAAATAAGTTTGTTTGTATGTTCGTTAAGTTTGAAATGATATTTTTTATATCGTGTCTGAATTTGATCTTGTACTATCGATACGTGTAAGTCTGTATGTAATGTTTTCTTACTGATGTACCACCAGGATGAATGCGTAATGAATCTTAAAGTTTTTGATTGGAAAGTCTGTATTTTTTTAATTTGACTCTACAGCTATCCCATAGATTTGTGATGCATTAGTCCATATGCCTTTTAGTAAGTGTTAGCATTTAGTTTTTGTCTCATTTTTAAAGTAGATCGTTTGTGTAAGAGAGAATAGAAAAGTCTTAGGTGATTGTCTAGGGTAAGACTTTTTTTTTTAATGTGTGCCCCCAGGTTATCATCCTATCGAATGCGAGTCCTAAGTAATGAATTGTATTAGTCTGTCCTGCAGAAACATTGTTTATATAAACTGGAGTACAGGGGTCATGTCGGAGCGTGAATATGATGTGCTGAGATTTATCACCGTTGAGTTTAATTTTCCATTTTTTAAACCAATTGTAATAATGTTTGTAAATAATATTGTAGGGTAAGCGATGCATGTGTGATACAATAAAAATTTAACTGTTTATTTATTAATGTTCTTTAAAAAAAAGTTTCATTTAATGTGTATTAAACAGTGATTGCACTTTGATTAGAGTAATAATTTGTCTTAAATAAATTACATCATCATCATTCAGGTCTGGGCCACCTCTAAAAGTCTTCGCCAGTTGGTACGGTCCTGGGATGCAGCTGTCCAATTCTGGATTTGTAAGTCTGTTACGCACAGACATTCCATCAAGCCATCTTATCCTAGGTCTTCTTACTCCTCTTGTCCTGTAGAGTTCCTCAGACATTAGTAGTTTGGGAAACCCGGAACATCCATTCAAGAAATATGGCAGCCCAACGTAACCTTCCATTCTTAATAAACTTGACCGCGTCCATTTCCTTATAGTGCTCCTGAAGTTCTTGCTTTTTCCTACTGCGCCATACATTCTTCTCTGTAATTGGCCCAAAGATTTTTCAGGAGATCCTCCGTTTGAAGATAAGAAGTTTTCCTTCGTCTTCCTTTATGGTAGCCCAAGCTTCTCAGCCATAGGTCAACACTAGCCGTATCAGCATCTTATACGGATCTTATGTATTTTGGCTTCATTGCCGAGAGACCTATTTCGTAGATATTTCAACAGGCTGAAGTAGCATCGGTTGGCGGCAGTAATTCTTTCAATTTCCAGGCCGAGGTCATTGCTCGAATTTAGTTCTGTGCCTAAATAGGAATGGCTCCTGGACTCGACCACCACCAGCGCACAGAAATGAATTACACATGATTTTAAATTGTCTTTAGACTGAGTAGCTGAGAATAAAAATAATTTTTTAGGTTGAATTTTTACTGGAATATTTAAACAATTTTTTAAACAAATGTTTTTTAAAAATAATAGTTCTATAAAACCTTTACTTGAAAAATAGCAAGAGAAAAAAGTTGTAGTTTCGACGCAACTAAAAAAAAAAATTGAAAATTAAAATTTCAGTCCCATCAAAACTGATTAAAAATAAAAAATAAAAATTACATATTAAGCTCTGTTTCTTTTTCTCTTTTGTTTTGATTTTGTGGTATCTGTTAATGTGAATTCTATATCTTTATCACATAACATGAATTCTCTGCTCAACTAAATAATGCAGTTTGTTCGAAATCCCTCTTTTATTCTATTGCATTGTTTCTATCTTGTATCAAAGTCCCATGTGAAAAAACTTTTCAATTTTTTTCTTTATCTTACTCAATATTTTTTTCTTAATTCTTAATCCTATAGTTTATTTTTTAATTAATTGACTCTTAATATTGATATTTTACAGGTCGGAAGCCATATAACTGGAGGTGATCTTTACGGAGTTGTTCACGAGAACACTCTTGTCAAACATAAAATGATCCTACCCCCGAGAGCTAAGGGTACAGTCACTTACCTCGCTCCCCCGGGCAATTACACTGTTGATGTAAGTTTTTTGCAATGATTAAATTTATAATTTTGTTTGAATTAGGATACGGATTACTACTTTTAGATACTTATAGGAAAACTTAATTATTTGTAATAATTATATCATTATAAATTTATAACTTAACTTCTTGTTCAAAAGAGATGGATATAACCTTCTCCTAAGACTTAATGTTCAATCCATAGAGGTTTGAATTTTAGTTTTAGTATTGTTATTAATTACTTCTCTGCTCTTTAGGATGTTGTCCTTGAGACTGAGTTTGATGGTGAGAAAACTAAGTTCACTATGCTGCAAGTTTGGCCTGTGAGGCAGCCCCGTCCGGTCACAGAGAAACTTCCAGCCAACTACCCGTTGTTGACCGGGCAGCGTGTATTGGATGCCCTCTTCCCGTTAGTATTTGTATTCTTAATCTGTACATATTTTATATATTGTTATAACTGCTATTGAAAGAACAAAGTCATTTGAATAAGAGTCCCAAAAGCCAAAAAAATTGCTAACATTATTAACATTAAACTATTAACATTTATTGAAAAAAAAAACTATAGATAACTTTAGCTAGTCGTTCATAAGGACAAAATGGACGAGCCGCACAGTACCATACCCAGTAGTATTACTTTATTGGAAAAGCATGCCTCACCTCAACACAAACTTACTGGACGAAGTCTTCAGATTAGAATTTTTCTATATCAAAATGAAATTAATTAGTTATTACCAAATGTTCACTCTAAACAATAAACCATATTAGTAAAATAGTTGAAAAATATGATACTAAACAAAAAGTATTATTGAAAATAAGATGAATTTCTTTCAAGAGAGATTCTCCGGTATGCCACTCCGCGCAAACCTAGTGAATGATTAGCTTTATAAATTTTTACTAAAATAAATATATTTAAAGGAAGGAGATGGTCCTGGGTTGCTGTCATAAATAGGCTAAATAGTGGTAAAACTATTTTATTGAAAGCCGACGTTTCGACCCGACTTTGCAGATCTTCATCAGGGCTAAAACGGACAAGATACAAAAAGATAGAGAATTGTGGCAATTACATACTATTTAGACATAATTTATAAACAATGTGAATAAGCTTATTAAAATTATAAACAGTAAGTACAATAAAATATGGACAAAGTAAGCTGAGTAACAAGATCCCAAACTGAAGTAAATAGATGCTAACAATTGTTGTAGTGTAATATATAATAAATGAAAATGTGAATATACTTCTACAAAATCTACAGGAGAGAAATAAAATTAGAGACTTACAGGTGTGTTCATCTAGGAGTTTCACTTAGAACACACTCCTAGATGAACACACCTGTAAGTCTCTAATTTTATTTCTCTCCTGTAGATTTTGTAGAAGTATATTCACATTTTCATTTATTATATATTACACTACAACAATTGTTAGCATCTATTTACTTCAGTTTAGGATCTTGTTACTCAGCTTACTTTGTCCATATTCTATTGTACTTACTGTTTATAATTTTAATATTAAAATAAGCTTATTCACATTGTTTATAAATTATATCTAAATAGTATGCAATTGCCACAATTCTCTATCTTTTTCTATCTTGTCCGTTCTAGCCCTGATGAAGACCTGCAAAGTCGGGTCGAAATGTTGGCTTTCAATAAAATAGTTTTACCACTATTTAGCCTATTTATGACCGCAACCCCGGACCATCTCCTTCCTTTATAATGCAACGGTCAACTATTAAATATTCAATTAAATATATTTAACTATGGAATTAGGAGCATATTTGTATTTATTTGTATATTACAAAACACTCCTGTAAGGATTATATTTTAAAGTCATTATTTAAATTGCAATTTATTAATAAAAGTAATTTGAATTTGAATTTTTCAGTTGTGTCCAAGGAGGTACCACAGCCATCCCAGGAGCTTTCGGTTGCGGTAAAACTGTAATTTCACAAGCTCTGTCAAAGTATTCAAATTCAGACGTCATTATTTATGTTGGTTGCGGAGAAAGAGGAAATGAAATGTCTGAGGTAAGACTGTTTTGTCAGTAAAATTAATATTATACAGTTATTTATATTTATCTTATTTGCATGGCATAGCTTGCTTTTCTTGAAAATATATCGTAAAACCACTAGTATTAAAGAATTAAATGTTTTTGTCTCGGTTCTATAGACTATAGACTAGTTGGACTTCTATGAGATATAATAAGGAAATTAAATGAGAACATGTTTATGCCGGATAAAAGTTATGTTAGTGTGCTAGACATTATGAATTAACATAACATCTTTAACAATATAAAAGTTGTTCTGGTCGCTGAATTATCATTATTTATGTGTTTTGTTTTGGAATTATTCTGAAGAATTGGGTTCTTTTAAACTTAAATTTATATTATTTTTTATTCAGTAGTTAAGTAATCAGAAAAAAAAAATAAGAATTGGTTTTATTTATTATAAGCTTATTTTAAAATTTAATATTGCCATTTTTTATAATTTTTGAGATATTTATGTTTGTAATTACCTAATTTTAGGTATTGAGAGATTTCCCCGAGTTGTCAGTTGAGATCGATGGTGTCACAGAATCTATCATGAAGAGAACAGCCCTGGTAGCAAATACCTCCAACATGCCTGTAGCTGCCCGAGAGGCCTCTATTTACACTGGTATGTTTTTGTTTAATGTAACAATAATAATTGTTAGAAAGTTTTTAAACATAGATTAAATTTTGAGCCTAACCCTTGACCATGAAAGGGGTGGCTGAATATTTCTGGCAAAAGCTAAGTACGAAATTCTAAAACAACAATAAAATATAAGGCCTGTTGTGTTTCCAGTAAACCTTGACATGCGTCTATCAATAACTGACACTGGGCTACACTTATATTAAGGGCAAGTGTCATCTAATATCCCAAATTTCTTGACTAATTCCTGATGAACAATCTTAGCCGTTTTTATGTCTGAGTAGATATTCGTTTGCAGCAAGCACTTGACATCCTGATATGATATGCTGAATTGATTCTATTGCTGTTTTACACAGTTCAGCTAGAGCTCCACAAATAGGGTGCCTACAGGTCTTTGTACCAATGCCCTAATTCTGTATGGCTATTAGAAATCAATAAAAATAGATCGCTCTAAAATCTAACTTCTTCCCTCTCCTCATGTTGTGGGTACGTTGGTGTTCTCTTTTACTAGTATTCTTGTCCCTGCAGCTCTGTCAGTAGTCTCGTTTACAGACAGTCCTATCATTTTTACTTTCACTTATCTATTTATGTAACATATAGTAAGGATAAGTATTTCGATCGTGAAAATTTTTGAATCTGAATTTTTAACAGAAACTTGCTTTTTGTGATTCTCTGGGTCCAAATAAGCAAGTCCTACAGATTAGGACAGGCTTCCATACTTAAGATGAGCTTAATATAATGAGGACTCCGACAATATTATGCACATATACATATGCGGTTTTCATAAATGCTAGCGTTGGTATTAGTTAATAGTTAATTGTATAGATTACAGAGATATAAAAATTAAAATTTGTATATATAAGGGTAATTAAACAAATAAAAATACCCACAATGAAATGTAAATAAATATAGCATCTATAATTTTTTACCTCCTCTTTGTCTGAAAATACTTATTTCTGCTTAGAGGAGGGTGGTAAGTGAAGCTCGTGTGGTGCACCCACCAGATATATATATTTTTTTTAAGTGAAAAAACTTTTTTAGGCGCGTTAAGCACTTTTTTGTGGAGAGTGAATTAGATTGATCCGGAAGAGAAAAAAAATGGAAAAATATTTCTTGGATGGGTTTTTTAGATAAAAGTAATAGTATTAGTTAAAAAGTGCTATATAATCAACAGTATCATCTAGGCACTGGCAGACTCTGACATAACCATATTTTCACATCTTGTGATGTAGCTCTGTGCCCACCACTTTTCTTTTTATGTATGCATAAAAAAGAAATCTAGAGCTTATTGCATTTTTCGTTTTTATATCCTTATCTTCACAGACACATTAAATTAAAATACATGCTAGTACCCCACTGCGTTTTTATTGAAACCCCTCAAATATTTAAATATGATGAACAACCTGAAACGTCTAATTTTTAAAAATAAAAAGCTGTTTTTGCTATATATGTTCTTTTTTTAATCTTAACTGAAAGTTAATATTACTTGATGACAATATTTAACTTGAATTGGCTCGTAAATTATTGTCAAAATGTTTCTTTTATCAGGTATCACACTTTCCGAATACTTCAGAGACATGGGTTACAATGTATCCATGATGGCTGATTCAACTTCAAGATGGGCTGAAGCTTTGAGAGAAATTTCTGGTCGTTTGGCTGAAATGCCTGCCGACAGGTAAAATAAAATGCTATGATAATAATTAATGTAAAGAAAACTAAATACAAAATTTATGTTTACTTATTTTGGTTTTGGAAAATGTGTTCAGTGGTTACCCCGCTTACTTGGGAGCTCGATTGGCGTCCTTCTACGAACGTGCCGGCCGAGTCAAGTGTCTCGGTAACCCAGAGAGGGAAGGATCTGTATCAATCGTTGGTGCTGTGTCACCTCCTGGTGGTGACTTCTCAGATCCCGTTACATCAGCCACTCTTGGTATCGTCCAGGTGTTCTGGGGGTTGGACAAAAAGCTGGCCCAGAGAAAGCACTTTCCATCCATCAACTGGCTCATTTCTTATAGGTACGATAACTAATTTTTTTTTCGATTATATTTACAGATAACACTTTTGTTCAAGGTATCAAATATTCTGAAATTTTATAGTGACTAAAATAATATTTAAGTTTTTAATTTTAGCTATGTTATCATTTTATGAGAAAACTAACTTATAGTTTACTAACTAAAATATTTGTTGTGTCCACTCACACGACTTTCCTACCTATTTCAGAAAAGTTTTTATATCTTTACATATGTCCATGAAGAAATAAAAAAGAATTGAACTAGATTTATTTTCCTGAAAATTGATCAAAAAAAGATTTGAGTACGATTTATTTGATAAACTAAAGCAATGTAAACCACCGGCTTAAGGTAGATCAGTGTAAAAAATTTCAATACTTCCTAATATTGCTGATCAAAAACTTTTTGCCATAGCTTATTATTGTCAAACAATAATTTCTGTTAAAAGTAGAGGAAATAGTGAAGATTGTGTGATGCGGGAAACAGATTTCTTTACTTTCACTTAGTCATCTTTATTCTCTCATTCACCCCTTTCTGACACCAGGATATGAAACCGTTATCTTACATTGGAAATTGAATAGCTGTAACTTCGTTTATAGTTGTCCAAAATGAACGATTTTTATATGCTAACAGTCTATAGAAAAACTTGTTTTTCATTTATTGCTCATGGAGCACCGAATTTCTGTCACAGGCATCAGTAGTCAAAACCCTACAAAATAAAAAAAGAAACAACAAAATCGGTTCAGTAGTTCCCGGGAAAATCTTGGCACAGACAGACAGACCATTGGCTAAAAATGTGTTTTTCGGACTCCGGGGACTCTGAAACATATAGATCCGATTGCAATACTTTCCTTTCCTAGTATAGGTAGGAAGGTAAAAAAAATGACTACATCTTGTTGTCTTAGTTTAATACATTTGAGGAATGGGGTAGCTCAGTGGGTAGATTACTGTGCTCTTATGCTCCAGGCCTCAGTTTTGAGTCTTGCGGTGGCAGGTAATTATTTATCCTGTTAGATCAGCCATGGATCAAATTCCTGGAACCCACTCAATCTCTATAAAGTGGTTACCTTTAATTAATTAAGAGGGAAAGCTACGGCGATTTTATATGATTCCGGTCAAAGTAATGAACCCAAGACCTTTCATGGATATCTGTGATAGTTTTTTAATATATTTTGGTTAGTGTCATCAAAACTCGTTTTCCTTAAATTTAGGTAATTTAATGAATTTTTTTTTTTCTCTCTGTTGTATTTTTCAACTTAAAATTGATTTATTAGGAGGAAATTAATAAAAATAGTCACAGAATAATAAAATTCTCACACAATATTTAATACAATTAGAGGGTCTTGTAAATGTCTACATTTTTTTTAAAACGTTTTAATGAATTTTTGCTTTAGGGCAATATTATATCATTTTTGTAAGATGTGTCGTTGCCACCATGTTAAAGTAATGAATGTGAGAATCTGTCTAATGTGAAATTTCGATTATGATTATTCGTTACTACATCTAACATAAGCAAAGGTCCTTTTACCATCCTCTTTAGACTTCAAACCTCTTTAAAATCATAGTTTTAACCTTATCAATGATGTATTTTAAAGTAACAAAGAATTTTTTTTTAATGAAGAATTTTTAAAGTATAAAGAAATATTACAAAATTGTTTGTTTTTTATTGTTAAAAATGAAATATCTTCTTTTATGCACTGTTATTTTATTTATTTGTTTTTTTCTGTTAATAGTAAATACATGAGAGCATTGGATGATTTTTATGACAAGAACTTCACTGAGTTTGTTCCTCTGAGGACAAAAGTTAAGGAAATCCTTCAGGAGGAAGAAGATCTTTCAGAAATTGTACAACTGGTCGGTAAAGCCTCCCTTGCCGAATCTGATAAGATAACTCTCGAAATCGCCAAGCTACTCAAGGATGATTTTCTCCAACAAAACAGGTTAGTCTTATTACCTCACCATTTTCTATTTATTATATCTAATGCTTGTTTTCTCTATTTTAAAAAAAATTATTTGGACTCGTATTTTCTTATTTGCAATCAAACCTCTGTATATCAAACATTAAGATTCCTTGAAGAAAATTTGATTTATAGAAAAATTGCATGATTGTGAGCTGATATCTGGAAGTTAAATAAACAGAGGTTTAATTATATGAATTTTTACTGAGATATATAATTTGTTGAGTTTTGATTTGATATAATTAATCATATTGCTTATTTTGATAATTTTTTAATTGCTCAACGATTTCATTTTCTAGTTATTCATCTTATGATCGATTCTGTCCATTCTACAAGACCGTCGGTATGCTCAAGAACATGATTTCCTTCTACGACTTGGCCCGACATGCAGTTGAATCTACAGCCCAAAGTGAAAAGAAGATCACATGGGCCGTAATTAAAGAAAGTATGGGCAATATTCTTTACCAGTTGTCGTCTATGAAATTCAAGGTAAATATTTTATTATCTTTCATTTATTTCAATTATTATATTTCTTATAATTTATTTCATTTATTATATTTTATTATTTCATTTATTTGACTGTCTGTATGGTACAATTAATTAGACAGCAACAAAACAGCATATAATATATTTAGCTGTGGTCAAATATTAAAAAAAAATTTTTTTACTTTCTATTACAAAGTACAGTGCAGCTCTAATAATATGAATTTTTATTTATTTACTTTTTAAATTCCAAAATTTACCTTTCCAATTTACAAAAACATTTTAATTATCTTTTTAAATGTTTTGTATGAGTAGAATGTATTGTCCGATAACCTTTTTCAGCATCATAAATCCTCCTTATTATCTTTCTTTCAAATACTTTTAGTTCATAAAAATTCTCTTGTGACAAACACTATGTTTTTACTCGATAGGTGACTACTGTTCTGATAAAAGTTTCATATAGCTTTAATTTTGTAGCTTTTGAAAACAATGAAGACTTCAGAAATTTAAGGTTTGCGTAGTAGGCTTTATTACCACCCATAATTCTGTTTCATAGTGTCTTAATAATATTTTTTTTATTTTTATCTTGTCTTCCCTCATCCCTAATTAAGGGCTGAAATGTCGGCACAAAATAAAATTGTTTATTTATTATTGTTTCTCACTGTGGCTACAATCCCCATCTAATTTCACAAATACGATAAAATGTTTCAATCAACCAGATCTTAGTTATACTAATTAATATAGCTTTATTCACTCTTATCAGATTTCTAGCAAGCTTACGCAATGATTGCTTTGTTTCTGTTTTTAGGACCCTGTGAAAGATGGTGAATCCAAAATCAGATCAGACTTTGAACAACTGCAGGAAGACATACAACAGTCGTTTAGGAACCTTGAGGACTAACAACAGTCAACTGTTAGCAATCGCGTACTGTTGTTTGTTGTTCTCGACTTGTATTTTATCTCTCCCTACTGTTTATATTTACATTTGTGTCCTCACCTCTTCGGAATGTCATTATTTCTTCATTTTCTATGTATATATATTTACATATATAATAACAAAATGTATAATTATAAAATTGAAAATGTGTATCATAATTCTTTAAACAATGACATTAAATGAAAAAAAAAATTGCAAAATCAGAAATAGATTTAGATAACCACATTTAAACTTAAGATGGGGTCTTCGGGAACTAGTTTTCGGTCATTAGATGTTTTAATGATATTTTCAGATTTATTTAAGAGATTTATTAGGTGAAGTTATTTAGGACCTAGATAGTTAAAATGACACTTCGGAGTGAAAACAGCAGTACCAGGGAATTAATCAATCCCGAGAATTTTAAATGTAATTTACTTTTATTCGTTTAATTTTTGTTATTGATTGTTGTACAAGTTCTTTTTTTGTTTTTCTTTTTGTTATATCTCTTCTGAATCATTCCGTTTGTTGTATGTAAAAAAAAAAATAAAATGTAAAAAATATAAAAATAATGAAATTATATCATAGCAAGCAGCTGTATCATGAGATAAAAAATAAAACAAAAAGAAAGAGTACTTATTTTAAGAGGATTTTTTAAAAATTTTATCACGGTACTAAAAATTGTATTAAATTTTTTGAAGCAATTGTTATTATTTTCTGAAATAATAAAAATATTATTTATCATATTTATAAACAGAAATAAATTATTTGTTACTTGTTATTCCATTCTATAACAGGAGAAATAAATTCTCTCCTATTTTGTGGCAAGTGTTCATTTGTAAATTATGTTATTTAAAAAAAAAGTAATATTTTATTTTCTCTAAGTATTGGCTAGCAAAAACTTGAAAAATTAAAAAAAAAAAATTATATATACATATATATAATATTATTTGTATAAACTAAGTATTGTCCATTGAAAGTATATAAAAAGTTAATAAAGAAACAATCGAACAATAATTGATGTAGGTAAGTGTAGGTGTTCTATTTTAAATTTGCATATTTAAAGCTTTTTAAAAAAAAATTAAGACAGAAAAGTGTGCAAAAGTATTAAAGATAGCTACACTATTACATTCCTATGCATATAAACACACCAAGATATACAGAAAGTATGTGTTGATACATAAGTGTATGTATATATTACCATTCATGTTAAGAGTATTAAGAGATCACTGAATCTGAGATTTCTTCTGGATTGGAGCCTATTGTCAATGTTAGAAATATAGTTAATAAAATAAGACTTTTTTTTTTTATTTTCCTATTCTTTTTTTATTAAACCCAGTTTGGTGTAATGTTATAATTACCTATTAAAGAGATAACTTATAAAGTGATATATCAGTAATACAAAATTAACTGGATACATTCATATATAATAATAGACTTGATTAACGTGAAGGTTCAATGCTGACACCATCACTCTACACATCTTCCACTGGCCACCATCTGAACCTAGCCAGATAAGTCTTAATGCAATCTTCGCAACTTTACTTCATTCTATTCGGACGTTTTCCAATCTGCATAGCAGATATTAATCTTTTAGGTACTCTTTTGTTACTAAGCTCAATGACTCGCTCATTTGCCGCAATATAATCACCTCAATTATATTAACTAGGTATAGTTCGGTGTTGTGTAAATGTTGAAATTCTCGGCTTTATTCATCCTTGTTCGGTACATTCAAGTATTTTCGCTGGAAAACATTGAATTTGTATTTATAAAAATCAATATATATTTTGATTTTCTTCATGCCCATATATGAAATATATAGAACAGGAAAGTATTGCTATCTGTGAAAAAATTTGAATCCAAGTTTTCAATGTAAATTCATGTTTCAAGATCCCTTTTATGCAGATTACCAAAGCTTTAAATAAGGTGAGTTTGTATGTGAAGAAACTAACTTCTTAACCCTTTAATGATGGTGGACTCATATATGAGTCAGAAGGCTGGATCTTTCTTGTTAAACAATGGTTTATTCCCACTCCTTAACAGATTTGATGTTTGAAGAAATTGTTTACCTATAGTCTCAGATGAGCTCTAACATAATGTTAAGGAGAGGTTCAGATAAGATTCTTAGCAGCCAATAAATGCTGCTTTGGACTTCAAAAGCCTTTAAAAAGTAGAATAACCACCCATACAAGGAAGATAAACATTGATAATACTTATCCATCTGTGTTAATCGGGGGGGGGGAGGAGGTGGCTTTCGTGCTGAAGCCCTCTCCCCCAAAATGGCAAAATATAACCATGTTTTATGGAATTAAACAATTATCTCTTAAAGTATTATTGTTCGTGTAATTACATTTAAAAGGACTTAAGGAATCACGTAAACACCATTTCATGTAGATAGTTAGTTTCTTTCTTTTTTTCCAAAGTAATTATCGTCATTTTTATGAAAAAAAAAGTTTTCCAGCTGAAGCCCCCACCCAAAATTAAATCCTGGATCCACTAGTGGTATTAATCTATGACTCAGAATGTTGGATGCTAACAAGACTTTTTTTTTTCATTAATTCATAAAAATATTAAATTCTAAATGTAAAATCCTGTTTAAACTCCTTAAATATATGAATAATAATGGTGGTGCTGTGTTCTTTGAACATTGTTCATTAATCTATTAAAACTGAATTTTCTTTTATATAATTTTGTTTAATTGTTTTGAATCAGAATAATTTATAACTCATTAAGTAGAACCACATATTTTTTTTTTTTTAAATACGAGAAGAATAATGTTGGTAGTTATAGCCATTTTTTAAATTCAATAAATATGTCATCATATCTGTGGAAATGACAGGAAGTACATGAGGAGTTTGTAGATGTACGTTTGGTTATCGAAGCCTTTAACGAAATTATTATTATGAAATCTAGTGTAGATTAAAATAATTTGAAATATAAAATACACTACTAACGAAAGTACAGCATGAATCTGGAATCTAATGTAGGACACGGGCAGATCTACGGAGAGGGGGCTTTGGGCTGAAGCCTCCCCAAAATGGTAAAGTATAACGATGTTTTATGGAAAAAATATTAAAAATTATCTCTTAAAGTATTGTTGTTCGTGTAATTACATTTGAAAGGACTTTAGGAATCACTTAAACACCATTTCATATAGGTAGTTAGTTTATTTTTTTCCTAAGTAAGTAATTATCGTTATTTTTATGAAAAAAAAGCTTCCGGGCTGAAGACCATCCCAAAATTAGATCCTGGATCCGCTAGTGATGTTGGTTGTAGAACATTTCGTACGATTAGTAGAATTGTATTACTGAAAGTAGAATGCCTAGCGAACTTAAAAGAAATAGTCAAGGCAATGGATATATTTAATAAAATCCATAATTGTTTTTATAGTACGTTAACCAGAAACGTTACTTAACTACTTTAGTCACTCTAGATATTTTCTCTAACACACGTTGATGAGGCTAGAACAAAAAGTGTGTTGCTAAATTGGAAGAGACAAATAGTGGTATTTTTGGTTTGGCTGGCGGGGCATTTTTAAAAAATTACAATAATAAAATACTTAATTTCGTTTTTCGTAGTGTAATTAATAATCAGTAGGTGTAAATATTTGTCAAAAAGAAATTCAGAAGAGATACATTTGGAGAGGTTCTTGACTTAGGGGGGTACCTCAAATTGTAGGTCGAGGAACCTGTAACTAAGAAACCAAATTTCATCATTTTATAGGAATGATTTAAATTATCTTTCAACTTTTCAATTCAAAAACTTTCAGGGGACAGCATTTTTAGTTATGAGTTTTTAGTCTCTCAGGGATTTGAAAAGAGAACTTTCTGCTGATAACACACAAGAAACCTCCTCAACGAATGTTATCAATATTGATTATTTGGAAGACATTGTTCAATGTTGTTGACTGAGTATGTAATTTTATCATCGTTGGGCATGAAGAGTAGACAGTAATTTACTTTATGTGCTCTGTCAATTATGTTTTTTTAGTTTTTGTATAGTTTAATAAACTAATAATTGTCTATTATTTTCTGAATAAATTGGCATGAAATATAGATGAAAACCTATCAAATTGTTTCATTTAAAATTTAATTGCATTCAAAAATTGCAACCACACCTGCTATATGTAGTATATCTTATACATAAACAAATTTGTAGCATAGGAATTGTGTGATGTCGAACAATTTAAATATAAATTTAAAACTAAGTTGACAGTATAAGCTTTGTAACACATTTTCATGTTTTAGAAATAATTATTGTCTGTGCTGATGAAGATCAAGGCAGACATATGGTTTCCTTTCGTGCAAGTTTGACTGGTATGGATTCAAAGATAGAATCGTGAGTAAATGATGATTGTTGATTTTATAGCTAGTCTTTTTTTGTTTTGTTTTTATAATCATTGATCATATTTTTGTCACAATTTTTTTATCGACACAACAAATTTGCTAGATGCGCAGCCGCTCAGGTGCAAATTGCATAAAATATAAATAAATAAATTTTTTTATCCTTACCTAAGTGACAAGATGTAAATACCTAGGAGTAACCTTTGACCAGAACCTCTCCTGGGATAATCATATCTCCCAGATTACCCGAAAATCCATAACTGCCCTTAAACAATTCCTAAGATTCTGTGATTGTATTCCTCTAAAAACCAGACAGCTCCTTGTAACCTCCCTTGTATTCCCCCAGTTCGGCTGCTTGGTGTATGGAGGGCTATCTGCCAGGCTGGAAATGAGACTAAAAAGACTCATGAATTGTTTCATAAGATTCATTTTCGGGATCCCCAGACGTTCACATGTTTCACTATGGTACACCGAGTTGAAGTGGCTTTATCCTACTTCCCGACGACAATTCCTTCTTGGCATTTTCCTTTTCCAAGTCTTCAGAACTAAAATCCCTCCCTACATCCTGGAACTCCTTACTCTGTGCTCCTCTATCCACTCTCTCAATACTAGGTCTCAACCTATAGACTTATATATTCCCTCCCA